TCCGCACCCTTCACTAACTTTTTCTTACGCTAATGAGTGTTGAATCGTAGTAATTTTTTATTTACACCTAGATTCAGGATTACATCAGTTTAGATTTTTTTTCATCAACAACACAACAGTGACTGGATGTTATTAAAAAAATTCTCAGAGTGTTTGTTTTAGTGTCTTTTTATAGATACTGTCTATCTGGAGGTCTTAAAAAATTTTTACAACCAAACATTTCCCTGGAGAATGTTTCACACTCTGTCATTTCATTTCTCATGAACAGTATTTGAAAATTCAGAGAATTTAATCCAGATTATTTCAATATGACTATGAATAACTTAAAATTATATGCACACGATCGTTTTCTGAGTATTGATATGTCGTGTTAGCGTGAAAAAATGATGTAGACAGATGTAATCGTTTTGCTAGTACAGTTTGCACATTTACTAGACCTAAACTGTACTAAAACGATAAATAAATAGCATGACCATGCAATTTGATACACGAGAAAGCAGTAAAATTCTCTGGTTTCACGCTTGCTCTATTGTCTTTTCTTGAAAGCAATAAAAGTTTTAAAAAAATGGATACTTTATTTAGCTTAAATTACCCTTCATGGCAAATAATATCTTCTGAATGGAAACAAGGCCATAGCATGTTGGAGTCGTTAAAAACTGTTCAGTATGAATCACTGTTTGTTGTCAAATACATATATAGAAAAAAGTTTTGTACAATCACAAGCCAATCGAGCTGGAAAACGAACTGATGAGACCAGTGAGGTGTAGTCTGTGTCCACTACGAATTGATTGACGTCGACACTGAGTCTGTCTGTACATATACACTAACTCATCCATTCTTTCGGTTTATTGTACGAAGTATAAGAAGTAAATCACGAAAAATTGAAATCCACGGTATCGAATTGAAATCAATATTGAATGCAGATTGAATTCGGCTTGCCACTAGCGGATAAAAGGGTGAAGAGTGACGGGTTCCATTAGGAAATGGTGACTTATTGTGTTGGATGACACCAAAAGCCACTTCACACGGTTACTCATGACATTTGTACTGATACACTTGATCTCTAAATATTATAAAGTTTCCCTTAGTAACAGGATTGTCATACTGGGATAAAGCGCTCAGAGAGAAACGATCGATGAAAATTCATTGAGAAAATTAAAAAAGTTTGTCATTTTTCAAAATTATTGTTAGTTTATGTATGAACTGTAGACAGAGAAATAGGGTCCAAATGAATGTTCATTAGTGTCAAACAATTATTATTATTAATTATAAAGTTTTATTAGACATGCGAGATTAATAAAAAATTCTATTCTGCTTCATTGTTCGAGATTGTTATAGGGTTGAAAAAAGTAGAAGTAAATTTAATTGTAATAATTACTCATTCTTGTGAAACAAGGTAAACTAGAGTAATTATCTCTTCTCAGTGACTTCCTAGAAATGGACTATTATTAAAATTTTAATTGTGAAAATAAATATTTTAAAAAATAAGTATTTCGTTTACGTTTATGTAATATAAATCTTAGTTTAATCACGAATCTTGATTACATCATCTTGATAAAAAGGTAATTCATAGTGCCAATTGGTTCTAAATTGATTCAATCTCACCGTAAGATTAAGTACAGCGATGTATAGGAGATGCATAATTAATTAATGTGAAGAGTTTAAATTGAAAGCCTCGTGGAGTTAAGGACTTAAGTTCTGTCAATCTTTGGTACCACAAGTTTCAACCTTTATTAAATCAATTCCAAAATATGTTTACTAAAAACCCCAGGGAAATGAATTTATTATTTGAGCATAAAAATTATAAATAAATAATTTCAAATCATTGGAATAAATTTATTAAACAGTTTTATAATTATTGATTATACTCCTCACTATTATCGCAAAAATAATTAGCACATCCAGAATTATAAAATCATTAATATTGATGGTATTGAGCTAATAAAGAATTTCTCTCAATTAATTATTTCAAGTATCTCCAAGAGTTTTGTTTAATAAGTTTCTTTAACTAAATAAAAGTACTTTTTAGATTTCTTGTTAATAGACTTTGAGTTGTCATATTTATTCTATAATAATTTAAAATATATTTATAGATTTAAGATTATTTATTCAAGATTAAAGAAAGTAGTTAGAATCAATTCATAGTTGAGTTAGAAGATAATAAAAATGATAATGTGCAAAATATGAAAAAAATTAAACAATCATGATGAGATTAATATTTGATAAGCTAGAGGGGGTGAAAGATTGCTTTTATTTTCTTCTCGAATGAATTTGGGGAAAAATCGCGTCATGACTCATCCATCTCTCTCTCATCCATGACGAAGAACGCATGTCACACTGCAGAGGGATAGTAGATATACGCAAAGTCATATAGCGTAATTCTGTCCAAATTCCCGACACTTTCGGTTAATGTTTGATGAGATAAAAAGGGCCGCGGTGGCAGCAACTCGTGAATTTTTAACTTCAACACATCCTCTTATTCGAACTCCGCAGGAGGGATTCCGGGTAGGTTGATCCCCAGCGAGTTTCATGGGTAACTCTGGAGGTGTCAGGACGCTTGGGAGAAACTCGCAGTTTTCCTCCTCAATATTTTATCGCAGTAAACTGTACGACCGGTAGATACACTCCACTGTACATCATTCGTTCTCACTTTCTACTTATTAACTTCTCACAACGAATCTCTCATTAAACTTTTCCAGACTTTCTGTGATGAATAAACAAACCAGAATGCCATTTGTTTCATAATAATTTTATGTTGACTTGAATAATAAAAATATTTCTATTGAATTATTTAATTAGCTAGATCAAGTAAACAGTTACTTTTGTAAGAATAAATGAACTGTAATTCATATGTGGTTGGAGAAATATGAACAAAGTTCTTCATAGGCTTTTGTCGACTCTTCCACCAGCTTGATTAAGCTCCTGGTGAGATGATGATGATGTCGCCAGGGATTACCATTGCTGGACGCAAGTCTCTTCATGAGTTTCTCGTCAACGCTACACTTGTTCTCTCCCTTTAATCACTCAGCAAACTCGTCGGCACGTACAACCTCGTTGCAAAACGAGCACAGAAATCTCACATCGTTAAAGTCATTTCCAGTCTACGAGGACATTCGTATTTGCATTATATATATATTATCTGTACCTTTATATCCTCTACTGTCAGTGCATAAAATTATGCTGTGTCCACGAATAATTTTGCTCAGTATTCCTTCGACATATTCATCTTCTTTCTCTCTAGTGCTGCTCAAAAAAATACGTTATTATGGTTGAGAAAGTTTAGAGCAATAATTAATATGCATCTAGGTGATGTATGCTATGGAATTAGATATAGAATGTTTTCATGCTAATTTTGGAGCTTCTATGAATTAGAGAGGTTTATAAACAGTTTCTTGATATTTTATAAGCCTTTGAGTTGAAATATGAGATAGTGTTGAATTAAATTGAAATTGAATTCATAAATGTCTGAGTCAATTTGTCTTAAGGTCTTAAAAATTGAAGGCGGTGAGCATAAATATTTAACAAGATTTATTTATGCAAAAATTAATTATTGTTTTATACCATAGATTTTAATATATTCATAAATCACCTTTGGTGTTAATAAATCGTGTCTTAAGACAAACCAAGTATCTGATTGAAATAAATATAGTTATTATTTCAAGGAAAACAAAGGAAATCGGATTTTAATAACTCAGAAACTTCATATTCTAGAATTTCATTCGTAACAATAGGAATGCTCTTAATAGTTAATCTTTACTTTACAATATAGAGAATTAAAAAAGACTATTATATTTTATTTCAGTTTCAATTTTATTCCTAATTTATTTCATGTAAGAATATCTCTGAAAAAAAATAATCAAGACTTGATTGAAATATCAAATTTCGAATTAATTCACTAAGAATATCTGATTGTTAATGGTGACAATGATTTCTCAATTAATGCCTCATCTGAAACTCTTTAAATATTTAATTACTTCCGTTCCATTTTCTTTTAATCAATTCCTTAAAAAATTTTAAATCATTTCGATAATAAAAATACTTAATTGAACTTTATTTACTTATATTTCATCAATCTTGCATTAGTGGGCTTTGAAATCTCTTCTCTTCGTGTGTGGCATCTAATATTTCTGTTTGACTGTTCCTTATCCACAATGCCAACATGTATAGCATTGTGGAAGAAAAGAAGCTTTTGTGTAATAAGTAACAAGTACTAAACTCAAATTTATCTTTCAAAGGATACTTACCAATTTTTTTGCCAACTCCCGTTTGTTAGAGAGTGGAAATGGTCTGGCAACTCGACAAATCACAAGACGAGTTGTCACTTGAGTGTGTTGGAGGAGGTAAAAAGAGCGATAAATCTCGCGGCTTCGACACGCTTGACGTCGCGTGTCGATCGTTAGAGAGAAACGACGCAAAGTCGTGTGCCACAGGGTGTGTCCCGGACAATTGGCAGTGCAAACGAACCACTTCCTTCACGACGCACTCGAGCAAATGCAACACTCGCAAACTTGAAACCCTGAAGCTGGAATGCATAAAGATCTCAACAGCATGTTGCAGTAATGGACTTGACAAAGCATCAATAGGCGGAGTGTTGTGACCTCTTTTTTTTTATCATTGTTAGTATTTCAACTACACAATTCAGGAAATAAAGGAACTTTGCTAAGTACTGGAATCAGAACAATCCCTTAATTTTATAGAAAGTTTATTCCAGAGTTGATAAAAAATTCCTCTTAATTGTTTTAATTTGAATTTTTGTTGAAAAAAATATACAAAGAGTCTCATGCTTTTGTAATTTATTTATAAAAAAAATTCAAAGTTAATTTTATAAAACTCCAAGTTCATAACTAAAATACAATTTATTCGAAGTTTTTCTCTCTTTTCTCAATCTGATGATTGTGCTTGATATTTATTAACAGGATAGAATTTATGAACTTTAATGATTTTTTTGCAATCAATTGAATGAGTTATTATATTAATGCAATACATTTTTCTCATTTCAGAAAGATGTTCTGATACTCGAGTCAACTGAGACAAAACAGTGTGTGTCCAAAGGAAAGTCCGAGGTATGTTTAAGTTTTATCTGCAGCTCTGTGAACTTTTTCAAGAAAAAAAAAAGAAAAAAAGTGAATTAAAGTAGGAACGTAACTCTATTGTATTCGTTTCTGTAGAGAAGAGCAGAAAAGATATGAATAAATAGATCAAAATGATTACTAGGGTAGAAGAAAAAAATGAATAAGCGTAATAAGTTCACTCACATTAGATTATTGAAGCTTTTTGCATGCAACATGTGATCGAGAAACGTGTACTGGATGAATCAACTCGTCAAAGAGAGGATTGCAATCGACATAGCTTTTAGTTCAAAAGATTTTTTTTCTAAACGTTCACCTCTGGTCAATTTATTTTTTATTCAGCTCCAAACATCGTTGAAAGCATTTATTAACTGAATAATAAAAAGTTTTATAAATGAAAATAAATCATTGTTGACAATGAGATAGTATTAAAATTGGAAAACAAGTTAAATTACATTTTATTTGAACTATTTGCTTATATAGACACACGTGGAAATTTAAACATAACGATAAAATTGTACTACAGATTTGTGTTGAGAATACTTGATTTGTCTCTTGATGACAATTGCAATATCACGTTTTTTTGAACTATCTATACTATTTTTTCTGCATTTCTATTTGCAAAATACTCAAATAACACATGACTGGATAGAAACTGTCAATTCAAAGTGCAGGCAGCTCTAAAGGCTTCAAATCAGAAATATTTTCAAAAATTCCAATGAGTTTTCCAAAACGTGTTTGGAATATTTTTTTCATTTAGTTGACTGTAATAGACGTGGCTTTTGATAATAGTAACCTGCTGTGTGTAACCAGAAAACGTATGAGGCAGTAACCAGTAAATGTGTCGTTTAAACGAAAAAACATCGATCCATGAGGCATTCACCTAAATTGTATTTTTTGCAGCACTTTGACTGCCGTAACCACATACGAGTGATTCAACCAATGAGCGATGGCAACCGCTTATATATTTGTGGTACTAATGCTCACTCGCCAAAGGATTGGGTAATTTACGTGAGTATCTTATTTTTCTTGTTTTTTTTATTTCTATCAAGTAATATTTTATATTTTACTTTGGCAAGTTGGCTATGAAAGAAACTCCAATTTTTTTACAGAGCAATTTAACTCATTTGCCACGACACGAATTCGTACCAGGTGTGGGGATGGGTATAGCGAAGTGTCCTTATGATCCCGCTGACAACTCCACGGCAGTTTGGGTAGAAAAGGGCAATCCTGGCAACTTGCCGGCCCTATACTCTGGCACGAACGCAGAATTCACTAAAGCGGATACAGTTATATTCCGTACAGATCTGTATAACTTGACCGACGGTCGTAAAGAGTACAGTTTCAAGAGGACACTCAAGTACGACTCCAAGTGGCTCGACAGTGAGTACTATATCTCTGATTTATTTCCGGAATGTCCTTTGTGTGCTCAACATCTAAAGTGGACGATTAGACTTTCTTTTATTAAAGCTTTTCAACTATCATAAGAAAAAGTATAGGACTCAAAGATAATTTTAGTAGAGAAATCAATTTTAAGAATCATCTTCAGACAATTGCACTTTCATTCTGATGGACAATGAGCTGCCATTAAGCGATCGTATGTGTATGTGAATGGTTCTAGCTTTTTCTTCTTCTTGGCTTTTTCAATAAAAGCACCGCGAAATCAAAGCAAAGATTATTCAATGTGTTCATTGACTTTTGCATTAGTAACAAGTATGAAAAAGTAACATAAAACGTGTGTAAAGAGCGTAGAGAAGCCGCCTCAACGTTTAAGGGTGTCACTTTTAGCTCGGTTATTTCAGAGGGTCGCGTTCTTTGTTTTCTCTCTTTTTAATGGCCAGCCGATCTTCAAGTATGTGCGGAGATGGTAGGAAAATGAATTGCTAGGGGCTGAGCGAGACCTTAATGCAGGGGTGGGTAAGGTGTACACCATCAAACGTCGCAGAGGGTGTGAGATCTAGGAGCATGGTAATAAAATAACTCCCCTTTTCGTCTCTAACTAAATGTCCCGTTTGCAGACCCCTTCAGCTTGGAAGAAGTTAAACTTGACTTCCCACCCATTCCTATGTCGCATAGTTGGAACACCCGGTGAGAGAGGGTTGGCCACCCTACTCAACCTCATCCTCAGTGAATCAACGACTTGCAGCTTAAACTCTAGCCACAGGATCTCGATGTATCCTCCAGGGACAAAGAAACTTTGCAGAAACTCAAGAGTTCTTTTTAACTTTTTCATTTTGTGATAAATTAATTATTTATTAATCTCTTCAGAAGTATTCAAAATTAACGCATAAATTTTTTAATTAGAATATTCAATATTTAAATAAAATAAATTAGTTTTCTTGACTTTTCCAAGTTTCAAGTATTAATGCTGATTAGTATCAAGCAAGTTAGCAAGTTTTGATGAAGCAACACCACTTACTAACATCAGTTCAGTTAAGGAAAGAGTCAAGTGCACCCTTTAACCTTGCTATTTCTTACTACCTTAGTACAATCTTAACGTTATCCTTATTCTTCTTCATGCCCTCTAGATGCATGATTAGCCATTTGTTTCGTCGTTTAATTTCAAGCCGCGCCCCTTCAACAACACCCATCAAGAGCCATTCTTCTCATTGAGTTTGTCTATTAGTGAAGGCGTTGATTAAACTGCAGAGAGTGATCGCGAGACTGGGGTGACGAATGCGATACGCCTGGGATGTTCTAAGTATGTACGACGCTAGAGATCGATCTGCTGGGGTTGAAACCAGGTTGCTGGTGCTAGTATAAATTGAAAGAGGAAGAGACAAGATGAGGATGAAACTATATAGTAGTGGAGAAACAAGAGAAGGCAATACTGTTAACGAGATCTGAATAACTGGCTGACGAGACGACGGTGGCCAACCACTTTCACGGTTCCATGCACTTCTAGAACGTCCACGAGTAGCAGAGCACACGTTTGCAACTTTTTATTAGAACTCAAGTACTAAAGATAAATCTTCAATGTCTGCAATGTGGGAGCTTTTACGACAAATGAAACTCAAAAAAAAAACCATTAAGTATCATCAAAAAGTCTATTATAATTGAGAATAAGTATGCCAGTGAATGAAATTTAATTAATAATTATTTTTCAAACTTCTCTGTCGTTGCAGATTGAATGAATATTATCTTTAACTGACATTTTCAAGTATTCAACTGTTATTTTAATGGTTCTAGACATGTTTCTTTTTTTATCAGAATGACGCTGGAAAGAAAAGAATGTAATATAAAACGTTTCGACTGACAATCAATTTCAAACGATATAAAAAATATTTCCAAGTATTTTCATGGCCTTTAATAGCTATCATCGCTTGCTTCCCCTTAAATTCTTGTCAAGATTTATGGAGCTTTTAAAATTGAAAGTGGTAAAACCTACAGCAGACCAGAAAAAAAGCACATTTATTTTGGTATAGAAGTAAACTTAAGCTTGCACACGTCGATCGTTTTTGGTAGAGTCCATTCGGTTGCAAAATTATTAACGTTTTCGTCCTCGTAACTTGGAAAGAGCTACTATTAAACTAGCTTTTACGATAGCTTGAGTCATAAAACGACAAGTGGATGATCATTGAACTGACGCTAAATTCTAGGTAGTCCCTGTCATGCCTTCCTCGCGAATTACACAAAATGAAAACTACAAAAGTCATTCAACTGCTATGTTTCTCTCTAAAGCTTTTACCCCTTCAACACGTTCAAAAGCCAACAGAGAGAACGTGAATTTACTACTCTTATTTTCTCCTCATCATTTTACTAGGAAATTGTTTCTACAAATTTCTAAATCACGCCATAAGATTGCTCTATCTATTATGTAATTTCTCTTACAATCACGCTAATGAAATTATTCTGTTTTTCAATATTAGTTTCTCTACTATTATTTTCATTTTCGGTTATTTGAAATAAAATTCTTGTTTCATATTTATAAAAAAAAAATACAAACGTTCATGTATCAATTACAATCATTGCAAAGCGTAAAATAATACTCTTGGGATGAATTGTTTCTGCAGATTGTACAGTGTTTTGAAATCTGGTTTTTCAGAAATTGTTAGTCTTGAATAGGTGTTGAATCAAATATCAAAGCTAAATAAAAAAAGAGATTTTAAAATTTTTTTTATTTTTTATTTCAGAACCAAACTTTGTGGGATCATTTGACATTGATGCACACGTGTTCTTCTTTTTCCGAGAGACAGCATTAGAGTACATAAATTGTGGGAAAAGTGTGTACTCTCGAGTAGCTAGAGTCTGCAAAAAAGATACAGGAGGCAAGAACATCCTGGCTCAAAATTGGGCAACTTATCTTAAAGCCAGACTCAATTGCTCAATTCCTGGCGAGTTTCCATTCTACTTTAACGAAATTCGTAAGTCATGAGAATATTTTTTAAATTTTATATTCCTTACTATCATTACTTTTTTTTAATGACTATACTAAACTATCATCATTCAGAGAGCATTTACAAAGTACCGGGTGATGATTCCCATTTCTATGGAACGTTTACTACCTCGACGAATGGTCTGATGGGTTCGGCCATTTGCTCGTTCCACATCGATGCCATCCAAGAGGCTTTCCGTGGTAAATTTAAAGAACAAGCGACCAGTAGTAGTGCTTGGCTTCCTGTACTCTCCAACAAAGTGCCAGAGCCACGACCAGGTCAGTGCGTCAACGACACGGAAACACTTCCTGACACCGTCCTAAATTTCATAAGATCACATCCACTCATGGACTCTGCCATATCACATGAGAATGAAAAACCAGTTTTTTTCAAACGTGACATCATGTTCACAAAACTTGTGGTAGATAAACTCAAGATTGACTTCATTGGTATGGATCTCGAGTACACAGTCTACTACGCTGGATCTAGTGAGTATTTGTTTCAATCATACTTAATTTTATTTTTATCTGTTACTCATCTAAAAGCAAGTCAACATTAAATTACAGTCATCAGATAAATTTTAAATTACTCCTTTATTTTTGAAAAATAATTTTTAATTTATATCTGTCACATTTTTAACATTAAATATATCATTCAAATAAATGGACATATTTATACTGGTGTGTATCACAGTGACATGATATTCATGTCGTGAATCTTGTTTCATATTAAAACTATAACTCTATGTTCAAAAGATCAATAAAGTAAAATGGATACTAAATATATTTTGGAGATTAAATTTATAATATTGCTGAAATATTTTCTGAAAGTTTCGAGCATAATCTACATTAAGCTATTATGAAGGTTTAAAGTTATTCGAATATCTAAGTTGTGATTGTAATTTAATGTAGAACTAGTCCATTTTACCACAACTAATTACCTAAATTTATTTTATTAAGACGATGGGAGAGTGCACAAAGTTGTTCAGTGGGTAGATATGAATGGAGAGTCTCAATCAATACTACTTGATGTTTTCGATGTAACCCCTGGTGAACCTATTCAAGCAATGGAGATATCTAAAGAGCACAAAGCACTTTATGTTGCCTCAGATCATCGTATAAAGCAAATCGATTTAGTTATGTGCTCTCGGCGATATGATAACTGTCTACGATGCGTTCACGACCCATATTGTGGCTGGGACAAAGATACTAATGCTTGTAAACCATACGTACCTGGGTAAGTAAGATCATATATTCTGCTAGTATCCTATGGAATTTTTATTTCCATTTTAAATATACGATATTCGCATGATATTGGAAAAAATTGTACTGAGAATTGAGATTTACTCAGGCAGATAATTCGTTTTTTTTAAAATCACGTTCATCCGCAGATACCATCTCCATGGAACACTTTTTATTGGATAAAAACGAATCGCGCGAATCGTTAGTGAAAAACTCAATAATAAATCCTGTTCGTTCTTAAGTAAACGACGTCTCAGTAGAATTTCGTCCAAGATCTTCTTACGAATCAATGATTTCTATAATTTCTCAAACGAGATTGACAATAATTCAATTTACCGATTCAAACCGACAGCCTCTTAGCTTCTGTCTTGATCAAAGAGACTTAAGAATTTTTTTTTCACCTTCCAGACTACTCCAAGATGTCTCCAACAATACAGCTGATGTTTGCGACAGCAGTGTAGGCAAACACAAACTCGTTGTAACGTGGGGGCAATCGGTACACCTCGGTTGCTTCGTCAAGATGCCTGAGGTACTTATGAATCAAGAAGTCAGATGGTATCACTACAGCAAAGAGAAGGGAAGGTATCAAATTGCCTACAAGTATGGTGCTGGAGGTGACAAGTTCATTGAAACATCAGAGAAAGGTCTTGTGATTGTTGGTGTGAATGAACAGGATGCAGGAAGATATGACTGTTGGCTTGGTGGTGCTTTGCTTTGTTCTTACAACATCACTGTTGATGCGCATCGCTGCTCAGCTCCGGCCAAAGCTGCTGACTACCAGAAAATTTATTCTGACTGGTGTCACGAATTTGAAAAATACAAATCAGCGATGAAAAGCTGGGAAAGAAAGCAAGCAGTAAGTATTCCTTCTGTTATGTAAATTATTGATTAATTGAAAATAATTGTCAATTATTAATTATTTGTTAAGTAATTATTTTCCATTAGTAATTATTTGATTGAAAAAAAGTTTTTGTTCAGTTGGAAATAGTTATTTCATTGAAATGTGAAGACTTTAGTTACATCTATTTATTTTCTAGAGAACCAAACTTTTAGATGAATGTTTCAGTTACCAACAGTTTAAATTAAATAAAAATTTCACTAATTATTTTTAATTAGTTTTCTCACTTCAGTACTTTGAGTTTAAATTATCATTTTTTGAATATTTTTTCATTTTATTGAACTCATTGAGTTATTATCTAAATATTTTTGCTCAAAATAAACATTATAAAGATAAATTAGTTTTATAAAATCATAAATAAAATATAACATGATGTCTATTCATTACAATGACCGGAAACTAGGTCAATTGAACTAAATTTATGTTGGATTTTAATACAATAGAGTTGATATATAAATTATAATATTAAAAATTTAAGTTATAAATCTATCAGCTGATCTATTTTTTCTCGTTCAATAAATTTTTTATTCTCTAGTTAAATATCTACAGAGAAATGTTAAACTTCAAATAAACATTTAGAAAACAAAGTTTTTAAAATCAAGTAAAATTAATTAGCCATAAAAGTTAAAAAAAATCTTTAAATTATATCTAATTCTCGTCTTATCGAAAAAAACTCTTTGGAGAGATTAAACTAAAAAGTTCATTAAAAAGCAAGAGTATTAAATTTAATGGTTTCTTTAAATATTTCATGAACTGAATTAAATACTTCGTCACTTTGGCAACTCTATAAAATTAAAATTCCTGTAACTAGAACATCTGAGAATATTACATTTATATCCTCTTATCATTAATAAATCAAAGTCTGGTTTGTTCAATCCAATGACGTCAGTCTAAATTTCTTTTTTATTAATTTCATTTCGTAAGGAGTTAAATGAAACAAACCACTGGGAATCAAACACGAAAATCTCAAGGGCTGATAATCTAATGTTCATAAATCAGCTGTTAGGCCATTGCCCGGGGACTAAATAGGTCAAGTGCACTCAGTTACATTTTGTTATCAAGCAAAAATCTATAAAAGAACTTGAAAATCAAGCCCACGTACTAAAGGTGATATTAATCACGAGAGAACATTTCACTGTTTTACATTATGATCAAATACATCAGAGCTTGTTCCATAAAAGGAATTTTTAAATTAATTCCAGCACAATTAATATAATATCATTACATTATTGGTAATCAATGTAGGATAAGTTAATATATCCAACATACTGTTTATGGAATTAAATATATCAATAATTTATTCATTCGACAATATGGTTGGAATCCAATTAATTAGAATATTAATATCAATCATCAGATGGAAAAAGAATATGGATAATAATTTTATTATATATTTTTTTGTTCTTATGATGATGATTCTATCTTTGGAAATTAATTAAATAATAATATATAGGTGAAAAACAGTAAAACATAAAAATGTGCATAATTTCTATTCTGATAAAGCTATGAGGTCGATCGAGGACTCATTTGAAAGATCTTGATGAGAAGAAAAAAGTCAATATGGTGAAAATCATCATTGAAGCATATTTTATGCAAAAATTGAAGTAAGTTCCCGTTTTACCCCATTTTAGGAGTGAAAAAATTAATTTTTTATATTTTTGACCCGATTCCGCATTTCTACGCATCAAGACGAAAAGAATGAGTGGTCGAACTTGAAAATCGGACAACGTTGATTTTTCGACCCCAAAAAATGGCAAGTGGTACCCCTTTCCATTTTTTTGGCCAAAAAATAAAGGTACTCCGATTTTGATGATTGAGGGCTCATTCTCTTCGTCTTAATACGTAGAAATGCGGAATCGGGGCACCGGTCAAGAAAATTCACTTTAACACCCTTAAAAAGGGGTTACACTAAATACAAATTATGGATTATCATCCCCTTGACTTTAAGCCCCCATAACTCGTGAACGGATGGTCCAATAACTGTTTTTAGGGACGTTTTCAAAACCCGAAAATCCAAGCTACATATTCATATTCATAAATAATGTTTAAAAAATTTCTTTCACCCTTAAAATCGCTAAAATATAAAAAAAAATAACATTTTTTTGGGAAGTTGCCAACTATTTTAGCCATTTTAAGAGTGAAAGAAATTTTTTAAACGTATTTTATGGATACGTATCTTTAGCTTAGATTCTGAAGTTTCCAAACAGCCCTCAAAAATCATTATTAGATAATTTGTATGAGAGTTACGGAGGTCCAAAGTCAAAGAAAGGTGAAAATATCATCTACTCTCCAACTTTAGACCTCCGTAACTCTCATACTAATTATCTAATAATGATTTTTCAGAGATATTTAGAAACTTCAAAATCTTAGCTAAACATACATATCCATAAAATACGTTTAAAAAATTTCTTTCACTCTTAAAATGGCTAAAATAGTTGGTAACTTCCCAAAAAAATGTTATTTTTTTTTATATTTTAGCGATTTTAAGGGTGAAAGAAATTTTTTAGACATTTTTTATGGATATGAATGTGTAGCTTGGATTTTTAGGTTTCGAAAACGTCCTTAAAATCAGTTATTGGACCGTCCGTTCGCGAGTTATAAGGGTTTAAAGTCAAGGGGATGATAATCCATAATTTGTACTTAGTGTAACCCCTTTTTAAGGGTGTTAAAGTGGATTTTCTCGACCGGTGCCCCGATTCCGCATTTCTACACATCAAGACGAAGAGAATGAGCCCTCAATCATCAAAATCGGAGTACCTTTATTTTTTGGCCAAAAAAAATGGAAAGGGGTACCACTTGCCATTTTTTGGGGTCGAAAAATCAAAGTTGTCCGATTTTCAAGTTCGACCACTCATTCTCTTCGTCTTGATGCGTAGAAATGCGGAATCAGGTCAAACATTTGAAAAATCAATTTTTTAACCCCTAAAATGGGGTAAAACGGGATTTTCCTCCAATTTTTGCATAAAATATGCTTCAATTATGATTTTCACCATATTGACTTCTTTCCTCTCATCAAGATCTTTCAAATGAGTCCTCGATCGACCTCATAGCTTTATCAGAATAGAAATTATGCACATTTTTATGTTTTACTGTTTTTCACCTATATATTATCATTTAATGAATTTTTTTATATATATTGTTCTTGCAAGTTGAGCACATTTAAAATACCTTCAGAGGAAAAAAAAATTTTCAAACGTTTCCTATAGTCCCATAAGGGAACGTCGGGGAACGTCCCCACTCGGGATCATTCAGGGAATCTTTTGGGAACGAAATTTTTTTTATACGGCTTGTATATTAACTATTATGTTATGTTCATCCGACTTCAATTATTCAAATGAAAATTAATAATTTGTTTCATTTATTTTCCAGCAATGTGCATCGAGACAAAACGACAGCAATCAAAATATCCATACGAATGAAGTATACGGAACGCCGTTAGTGTGATCAAGCGAGGATTTAGAGCCTTCGTCTAACAGAGAGTACAACAAAGTCCTTACTGATGTTCAGCTGAGGAACAGTGTTTCCGGTGAAGTCAGCATCTGGAGTAGCTTTGCACTTCTGTTGCTAACGGCTCACTACCTCTACATTTATGCGACGACTGGATTTTTATTCATTGTGTGAATATATTAATTAACAAATGACGAAAGTGTTCGAAATGAAAAAACTCGAAAAACTCCATATATAGTGCCATCCCCAATTTTTCTACATCGTGTGGATGATAAAAAATAAGTTCACTTGAAAACTCCAGTGACTGTCGTGTGATAACGCGTCTTTTTTTTTAATAATTACTTTTTTTATTCAAGATAATATTAATTTTATATAATTGCCATTCGATTAAATGTAAATAGTTATAAAATAGAAATGTGACACGTTATCGATTGATGATAATAACGATGAATAATCGAGACATGAACTCATCTGTCTTTAATATCGAGTATAAAGTTTTTTTAATGACATTTAAGGCAAAGCGTTCATTCGATTATCAAGACTGGAGGACCAAGCGACACAAGTCGCAAAGTTGAATAAACCAATTCGCCTAGTGAGAGGAACGTTAAGTGAGGTACGAGCATCAAAAAAGTATTCTCTGTTTTATCAGACCTGTGATATGAATGGGTAGCCAAGTAAACCCCGTGTTTGTGCATTCAACGTCTGAATGAAAAGTTTCGAGTATTCGGGCGTGTAACTTCACGACCACGGGAAACTTTTTTGAAAAGCAGAAAACAATCATGTGTAAAGTGTGTTGAGCTTGATTATCAAGAAGACACATTATTAATAATATAAAATAGGATATACATCTAGGATTAAGAAGAGTTTGAGGATGCTGAAATAATGCAGAGCTGTCCAAATAGTCGCCTCTCGATCGACTTATCATCAATACAAGAGAGTTAAGCGTGTCTTAGATGTTTCTGCCAAATAATATGCAGAATTCGACAAGTTACACAATGAGATTACCGACGGTTTTATCGCTATGACATTTATCGCGCATTTTTAAAATTATTTTAATTATTCTATTTGATACTTTTTCAACTGTAAAATATTCTTATGTCAATAAGTATCAAAATCTAATTTTAACTTTAATTATATTCTGAATTATTACCTTGTTGCATGAGTCGTTGCGATTTGATTTTATAAATATATTTGTCTTGAAGAGTAATGAGTTTTTCATTTAATAACAATTATTAATAACTGTTTAACGTAGAAGTTGGGTACAATGTGAGTTGTTGAGATGATTGGAATATTCAATTAATTTAATTGTTCATTAATTTTGTGACAACTTCTGCAACGACTTAATAATTTATTAACACAATAGTGTCAAGGAACTCAGCATAATGAATTTAATTTCAAGAATGTCGCGGCTGTGTTAGCGAAGGCCAATTTTGTAATATAATGTCATGGGTCCGGGTCGGGGACCCTTTCTTTCCCTTTACCAAGGTACTTATGGGTGGGTCTATCTCTCCCTTCGTGGAAATAGCATCAAGTACTCACAAGCCCAACAAGCTCGACGCTGAAAACCATTTTACTTACTCATACACACTCTCCAACCATATTCATCTCTCACTCGGTTCCTATATCTTCGCCTTTCTCTCTTCCTCTCATGCATTAAACACATGCTCATTTACGTGCGTGCGAGCACGTCCTCGCGATCATATTGTACATACAAGATTCAGAATTCACATGTAAACTCTAGTAGACAAGTCTAATATTAGCGTAGGTATTATTAGTGTCTGTGCGTTAATTTTCTATGAGCCAAGAGAGTTTGTGATTTTCTCTCCCGACTCTCGGGAAATTAGCGGAAGTATCTAGTGAGGTACAAAATCGGTGAAATATACGAAATAGGTGTGCGAAGTTCTCCGGTTAGCATCATCATCAAATCTTTTCAACATCTATCTACCAACATGTGAACTAAATTTACTGGATTGATGCAAAAATTTCAACAGGTTTCATTCATTCAATTTTCTGATTGAGGTTTAATAACTTTGCACCTCATTTTTTATATTGTTTTTATTGCATATTAATTCTATTGTTATATTTAAATTTTATTTCAAATTTTAAATTTAAAATATTACAGGGTATTTTACCAATAAATTTTATTATCTATCGAGTCCAAGAGTTAAATAAAAAAAAAAATGTACAGAAATTATTGCAGCAATCGATAACCATTGCATTTTCATTACTCATATTCCTGGAAGACTATTTTTGTGAAGAAAGACTTTTTATAAATCTTCGGATTGAATAAACACAGACCTGCCAATAACGTCATTAAATCGAAAGTATTAAATCGGGGATCTTCAAGCATCTTCATGTAAAAAAAAAATAACAAAAAAAACCAGAACAAATTATAAACAATTTTTGAACAGACGAATTTAGGTTGAAAAATGGAAATAAAAAGAATGAATAAATTAATAAAACAAAGTGATAGTACATTCTTTCCGTCGGTTTGTAAATAAAAAAAAAAAAAAAAATAATCATATGCATTCATAAACTTCTTTTAATGTCATATTTTTGATTTAAATATCGACATAAGCGATATGGTATCTACCCTCGCGATGATTTGGTCACCGCAGGTTTTCTGGGCAAACGAAGGGTAATAATATTGTTTTTATATAAAAGACAAAATTTATAATCATTAAGCTCTGTACAAAATACTCTTGTGGCAACTACTGAGAAGGAAATAATTGTCAAAAGATAACTCAAAGTATTGAGAAAAATAATACAAGTGAATTATTTTCCTCTTTAGCTTTGAAAAATTAATGTTTATTTTTTAAAAAATAACTGGTCTACATTGTGAAGATAAATCTAATAACTGGATTTTATTGTAATTAGCGAGATCTGTAGCCAATAAGCGCAATGCAATAATTGTTCAACGGAAAAGAAATTGAATAAAAACAATACTGATTCTATAACTGAAATGTACTTAACAATGAGCTTCGAAAAGTATTGGATAGTATTATGGATTATAAGGAATAAGGTAAACAGTAAATAAAATATAAGAGACAATATTCGCGCATCAATTCCCGACAGTATTGCTTTGACATATACATATTTAAGTTCCCATTAGCTCACCAAGCTCAGATCACCATTTTTACACGACCGTTGAGAGTAGACGCGCGATATCTGCACATGTCTCGCTGATTCGCAACATTCACGTGAACCGCCCGCTAATCATACACACACCGGATGAAAATCGAGAGACAAATGGAGAGCGGATGAATACGTAAATGAAATATGATTCTTACCTTATGTGAAGGTAGTAAAAGAAAAATATATCGAAAGCGAAAAGCTACATAAAATAAAAATAAATTAAAAATAGTGAAGTATATGGTCTTTGGCTTAAAGAACTCTAGTTAAAAACGTAATAAAGACTATAAATATTTAAAAAAAAAATTTATCACAGGATTCATATTAATATATCAAACATGAGAATAAAATTATATCTACGATTTTAACTCAAGTTCTTTGGTACTTAGAAAGGGGGTGATTATGGAAAGCAATCTAGGACGAACCTAATGTTGTTAGACATATTATTTGTAAGATTATCAAGTATTGTATATGTTATTTAATGAGACTGATACGCCGAAATGCTCGGAGTGTGCCTCTGGTAAGCCTAAACATTAAATTATATCTTTAATTATTTTTTTTAGTTATAATATAAGAAAGAGGAATAATCAACGAGTCGAGATTTCGACGTATCAATCAACTAAAACAAATGGATAAAAGCTAGCTCGGTGAACATTACGTGGTATGATCAGCTTAATGTATGATGATTATTCCCGTAAAGCTAATAGAAAATAATACAGATGAGTTTTTATTATGATAAATTCTTATTATGATTAATACTATGATGAATAATGATGAGGAGAGAGAACGATCGATAACGACTCATTGAATATCACTAGGACTAGCCAATGACTGTCTTGCAGTTTTTAAAAATTTAATTAACAATAAGTTTTCTTAATTATTATTATTATTATTATTATTATTATTATTATTATTGTCACTGTTTAATTTTAATAATTTTTTAAAATGATAATGATGATTATTATTAGTATTTTTTGGTAAAAAATGCTCTGACTGATATGCTAAGTATTCCTTCTGACAATCCGTTAACTGTTACGTCTATCACTTTTTTTATTTTTCCTGTACTTGATTTATAAAGTGATGCCTCGTGACCTAGATATAGACAAGCGATTACCAACGGACTAATAATCTATTCATCTTGTGGTACTCATTCTTCTTCTTTTGTCTCCATTTTTCCGCATGCTACTCATTCTCTCACTTATTATCAACCATCAAACCACATGCGAGCAGCGAGGAAATGGAGCAGAATGAAAAAGTGCCCCGAGTAAATTACCTGAATATGTAGGACTCAAATTTAGAAAGAAAAAAGACATTTTTGTTATACACTCTTTTTTATAAAATAATCATGTACTTTGTTCATGATAAAATTCTATTCTAGTTTATACTTGAACCGACCGTATGTTTTATGATCATCATTTGCCGTATAATTATGCGTTTCACGAATGGAGTATGCATTTGAGCGTAAAAAATTTGTCAAAATGTGTGTCTAGTGGATGTGTATGGAATGATTTTTGTTACGCAAATTATTCCTACGTACCAGTCACGGTCTTGTCATCATTTGTACATGCAAACGTCGTTGGTCACGCTTTGTCACGTACGTGAACGATATTATCATTAATAATCGCTATCCCAAGTATCAATTTTTTATGTTTATTATTAATATGTTTATTTTTTATTATAAGAGACAATTTCTAGATATTCACCTAAACCTAAAACATCCAATTGCTATTTTTATCAAAACGAAAAAAAATATGTTAAAATCTTTAACAGTTATCCATTGTTCACTATTGCTATAATAAAGATTTGCTTTAATAAATTACTGGCAGTGACAATTATTTCATCATTTCCTCTCATTTTCCACCTCATTCCAGTAGTTATACTCAAGTTATGTATTAAATTATTCTATAAATTTTTTATCTATAGAGTTATAAAATAAACGACATCATAAAAAGCACTTCCGGCAGACACTCTTTAAAAATATAGATGAAGCTAAACTTTAGTGGTTAAGTTCTATAAATTTCTTAGTGCCTTTCACAATTCTAACCATTAAAGGGTTAATCGAGCAAACCGATCTTAAATATTCGAAAAGCGAAACGAGATACCAAAGTACTTTCATCGTTCAAGAAAATCGATTCCTTCTCTAGAGGAAAGTGCTTCAACTCTAGCTTTTACTTCTACCGCGTCAAGATAATAAATGATTCACGGGGTCAAGAATCTTCGCTACGCAACCAGGTCTATAGACTCACGTCTGTTGAATAAGAACGTCATGACTTTCGATCAATTTGAATTTCTGACGCCACAACTTTTATTTCAAGCCGATCGAAATTGTAGTAACGTCATTATAGGAAACTATGCCAATTTATTCAATTATTTTAAAGTTCAATATCCTAAAAACGGATTATACTCGGTATATACTATACAAGTTATGACATAAAATCATTGAAAACTTTTTCTAAGGGTTATTGTACATATAATCAATCAATATTATAAATTCATCATGAAATACGTCGTTCGAATAATTACTTACAGATTAAATAAAATCCTTTACAGTATCGGATTAAACTAAATATATATCAGATTTATAGTAATCATTTAATTATCAGAATATTTTTAGTATAATCATACAACCACCAATTCATTATGTAGATTGATTTATTTATGAACTTTCAATGTTTATTCATTTTAATACGCAATAAAATTCGAATAATTAGTACAGAAATTCTCATTAATATTACTTGGATTCAAGATAAAAATTTAGCCTTAATTAAGTAATTTTATGTATCACAATAGCCGAAAATATCATAAACGTTTTAGTTATGTGAAGAATATCAAATTCCGATAAAATCAGCAGAATGGCTAAAGTTTTAATGGACTTCGAGACACGCCAAGTTAATTAACTATTTACTGGCCAATGGATATCAAATTGTGTGTGACATTTTGCTAACATATGAATATTTAATTATCTACAATTTTTTATCAAGAACACTATCAAGCTATTGATGAATTTCCTAAATTATTGCATTTTTTAATTCATTAATTATCAGAAAAATATCATCTATTCACAAACATGAGATAATCTATTTTTATAACAATTATTAATTTCCATTATATATTGTTTAAGTATTGTTGTTCAGTTCATTTTGAAAGCAAACTTTTAGTATAACAAATCACAAATCACGTTTAATTATTTAAATAATTTTGATAAAAATAAAGTCATTGAGTATTTCATTTTTTTATTCAAGCTGGTTAGATTGAGTCCATATTTTAATGGCGATGTAACACGCTGTAATTCCAGTACAGAACGATCTTGCTGGTATTGAGGTAGCATCAGAGAAGAGGAGGTCGTGCTTCATAGAGTTGCAGATCCATATAGAGCTGAGAACAGAAGACAAAAATTTCATGTAATTCATCAGAATATATGAGGAAAAATCAAGAATAATTCTTAAAACATTTATCTTAAAAGCGTGCTTCTTAATAAATTAAACGTATTCTAATGTACATAATTTAGAGGGTAGAATGTACACCATTCAGTCTTATATTTTCACACTTTAAGTCACTCTGAAAGATTCACCTGAATTATTAAAGTAAGATTGGTCGTATTTTATCGTTGTAAAAGATTAAGAACGTACCAATAAGAGGGAACGCCTGGCAATTTTCGTGAAAGAACGGCAGCTTAGCATGCATGTCTAGGCCATTTATATTGATCTTAATTACCACTCAAATGATCTTTTTATTATACAAACTTAATTCGATCCATTATAAAGCCCTCATAAATTAATGTGTCACAACTTACTTTAATTCACTATAAATTTATGGCAAATGTGATTTATTAATAATATATTGCCATGATTAAATTTCACGAAAATTGTCAAACATAATATAATTGTAATCAACATTACAGCATTGAATACACTTTGAAATTTTCAGGGAGAAGGTATTATGACGATAGCAGATCCTGTCAAAGTGATTAGTTTACAAGCTCATGTAGTTAACAGAGAGGTTAAGCTTTGGTGATGGCTTTGTCAGTTCATTTAAAAGGATTTCGACTAATCGTCAACAATTACATACGTAAAAAGCACATGGACCTACATTAGAACTGAAAGTAAATTTATTTTATCTCTTTTTTTATTTTACCGAAAGGAATTTTAATAATATTTACAAAGAAATAAAATTTTTACAACCTGGTGATTGTAAATAACTTTTCCATTTACGTTCTATTTTTGATGTGAATTCATTGAAAATAATATATTCTAGTTTAGTATAGTATTTATTAATGTACCATCTAGATGAATATAATAGAAATGCGTCTATCTATTAAAAGACTACTATCGATAATTATTGAAAATGATAATTATTATTTAAACAGTTAAATATATATATATATATATATATATATATATGTACATTAATCATTGATTGGGTGAACATCAAAAGAACTTGTTTGCAAGAGAGAATTAGCAATCAACTGTGCCGTTACCTGCTCACTGACCTGTAATTAGTATTTGTACGATACAATTATTTTTAAAAATTCAATTACAATTGTAAAACAAACTCATTTAAAAAAAAATACCAATCGATTTTCAAATAAAGATGGTTAAATATCATTTGTTCATTTTTTATTTACCAATTCCTAATAAATGTTACTCTAGAATCGAACAATAAATATTTTTGAATAGTTTCTTTCATTTTGAAAGTATTAGTCAGTATTGATTGTATTAATTAAAAAAATATTATGCTACTTAAAATAAGCTTTTCAGTTGAATTTGTAGTGGAGAACAACTTGAAGCAATACCCCCCTTTTTCTCTAGTCGATTCCCAAGATACAGTTTTCTTCGTTGCTTAACTGGAATTAATTAGAAAACTTGCTGGAGTCTCTTCCCCTCATTACTTGTTCAATCTGGTGTAGCTTCAGATCTTGAGATTTTTTGTAATTTACAAAATATTAATGAACTGGGCTACGTAATTGTGGTAAATAAAGTGTACTTCTTTTATTGATCTTAAGATCTATGAATTTCTTACTGAAAAAATCTACATCAAGTCAATAGTTACATTGAAGAAAGTACAGCTTCTTAATTTATAATATTTACATTCAACTTTATTTTGAAAGATTTTAATTTTAACTTTCATTAATAGTTTTATGTATTTTAAAACAACCAGCTTATATTTTTAGTAATTCTGTGAAAGAAAAATTACATGAAGTAATGCAAGAATATTTTTAACCATTAATATATATGTGTGTAATTTTTTTTTTTATAATGATATATTGGCGATAAACTGCAAAATGTGAAAATGTGCATAACTTCTACGCTAATTATGCTATGAGGTTGGTTGAGGGCTCGAATAAAAGATCTTG